TGAAATGCACAGGAAGCCAGGCAGTCAGCTTTGGCTGCTCCCACAAGCATTTCTAGTTTTATAAAAGCTTGCACGAGAGGTCATGGCTGACCGTCTGCCTTACTGTACGGTAAACAAGTCAACACACTTGCTGGAAATGCCATCTGCTGTGACCTGATTATCTGGAACAGGATTTATGGCCATTTTGTTCTGAACCCATTGTAATTTGATCTAGTTTAAAGACCCCAAAACACTGCGTTATAACTGGGGTACCCTGTATTTGTGAGTTGCTGGCCCAAAATTAGCTGCCATATTTGCTTAAACAGCAACAGTCCATATACTTGAAAGTAACTCATTTCACAAAGCCCTTTGACCCACTTCACTGTAAAAAGTTGAAATAACCAAAACAAGTAATATTTAACCCATCTGGTGCTGAACTGGATAGCTGCAGTCTGATCATAACATATAACAATTTTGGCGTTATCTTGTCTAATTTCACACAACATTCCTCTTTCTATTTCTAAATCTAATACACTGAATCTTTCAGGTTGACAGGAACTTACCTAGTTCCTTTGTAAAACTGTGTTGTGGTTTCTCGCACCAGTAAATTGTTCCATGTGTCTATCACCTTTTCACATTACACAGCAGAAAAAAGTACTGACTGATTTTTCCAAACTCTTCATAAGTTTACGTATACTACCTCTATCAAGTCGCCCTCCCTCCCCCTCAGTCTCTTCTTTCAAGAAACCACACTCCCGGCATAAATCTAAATCAACATCCTTTCGTACACATACTCCTAACAGGAGGAAAGTGCATGTTTTGTGTTTTCATTTTCTAAGATTGTTTCTCTCTGGGAAACCTCGATATTTTGGCCACAATATTTCAGCAACATGTTACTGTTGTATTACTGCAAAATCCTTTTGGAAATCACAAATTACCACAGAGAATTATTTGTTCCAACAATTGTGAGATAAATGATAAATAGAAAGTTATAATTATGTTGTTTCAGTTACTTTATGTGTATATATACACACATATGAATAGATAATTGGCTTATTATCATAGAAGTGAGCCCCACCTTTATTGAGACAGCTGGGCAAAGGACAGGTTAGGAACATAGGAACAGGGTAGGCCATTCAGCCCCTCCATTCTATTAGATCATGGCCGATCTGTCCCTCAACTCCAAATATCCACCATTGCCCCATATCCCTTGATATCCTTACCTAACAAAAATCTATCCACCTCAGTCTTGAAAATTTGAATGGATCCTCCATCATCTCAAAAATGAAGCCCACCATCTGATGCCTCAACCCCATGCCCACCCCTCTCCTTATCTCCCAGCTCCACCTTCTGGCCCCTCTTTTAACCAACATCATCAACATCCCCTTATCCACTGACACTGTTTCCACCCCTCTAAAAACAGCTGTTATCAACCCAATCCTCAAAAAATCTTCCCTGCACCCATCACTATTTAATAAGCTTTCATTAGAATCCACTGAAGAAACTGGAAACAATATGTTTTTAAAGGGCTTAAAATGAATTCATGGCTAACTTGCTTATTACAGTGGGTTGCTTTAAAGCTGACTGTTTAAGAAATATTAAATGATAGTGTAACGACAAATGTCGCTATTTCTATTGAATACTTAAGCTCGGAATGGCTTGAGAGGCATTGAAGAGATTATTTTTCATTGCAATTAATTTTATAAAGAAAAGTTTTGAATAATAATAATACTGCCCAGTTCTATAATCTTGTGCTTTTTTTTCTCTCCTGCAAGGCAGTTTCTTTAAAAAGACAAGTTTATTTAAAGGGGAAAACTTTACAATTTTACCTCCTAAAAGTATATTTCATCTGCTTTCTGATATAAAAAAAGTATTCAGAATGAAATGAGGTCAGGGGAAAAAATTGCAACAATACTGACAGATGTGTGCAATTGTGGCCATCTGATGCATAATTCTAACAATTGAATACTTCTCTTACTGAAAAACCCATCCAGAAAAACCTTGTACCTAATCCTCTAAATCTCCAATTTATGAGTCCTGTAGCGTATTGGTTAGAGCACTTGCCTTGCAAGCAAGAGGATCGGAATTCGATTCCTGGTCATGGTGAAACCTTAGGCAAGTTTCCTTACTCCACTCCCCTGTTTACCGAGCAGTAAATTGGAATCGGGTTGCTAGTCGATTGGCAGATTGCTTTCCAGGAGTAATAATCCCTTCAAAAAGAAAATTGGTCACTCAATCCACGACTCTTCATGGGACACTGCTGTACACAATTAGTTCCTGCGGTTTGCCCACCAAATATAGTCAATTCACTTTACATTATATTTGGTGCAGTGCTTTGAGACGTCTCGAAGACGTGATAAAGCGCTAAATCAAATGTAAGGATTATTATTATCATTATTATTATCATTACTCTTCAGCTATCATCCCATCTCTAACCTCCCATTCCTCTCCAAGGGCCTGGAACAAGTCGTCAAGACCCAGCTTTGATCTTTCCTCTCCTGCGATTCCTTCTCTGAACTCCTACAATTGGGTTTCTGTGATGTCCACAGCACAGAAGCTGCCCTGGTCAAAGTCATTAATGACATTCTGTGACCAGGGCTCTCTCTGCTTCCTTCTCCTCCTCAACCTCTGCTGCCTTCCAAACTGTCGACCATTCTATCCTCCTCCACCGCCTCGTCTCGCAGCTCAACCTCCACAGACCTGGTTCGAATTCTACCTCTCCCACCGTCTCCACTTTGTGGAGGCACGCTCCCTTGCCTCTTTCAGGACTTGTCTCAACGACCGTCCTCTTCAACCACCCTCCACCCCTCCTGATCCCAACTAGGAGCTGGGGTGCAGATCCCTAACCGTCCAGAGCCTTGGGATGTCCTCCTGATGTGAAAGGCGCTACATAAACAAAATAAATGTGTTGTGGTTGATCCAGAATCCACAGCCATTTTTTGGGGGGGAGTGAGTGAGTGGGGGGGGAGGAGGGGGGGCTGAGAGTTCCAGATGGGACTACCCTTCGTAGGAAAAAGTGGTTTGTTGATTTTTGTGCTAAAGCCAGACATGCCCACTGCACCTATATGGGAACTCATTGGTCGTCTACAGCAACCTGTGCTTTTGGACAGCGATGCGTTTCTCTGACAACCGTGAATGAGCTTCAGGGCGGGAACAGAGCCAAGACACTGGGCAGAGAAAGCAAAGCCAGGCGGCTGGGCACACACTGGCTCGAGGATTTCACTTCCCTCTCGTATTCTTTTCGTTAGCACAAACGAACAGTCTTTCTGTGTCTTGTGGTGCGTTGATTAGCGGTGTCTGGAGAGTAGAGGAGGGTTTTCTCTTTTTTTAAAAAAAAGAAACGTATTTCACTCTCTCACTCTCTCTCTCGCTCTCTCTCTCTCCCCTCCTTTGCCTCTCTCCCTTCTCGTGGTACAATAGGCTTCTCGGTGAATGAGTGGGAGAGCAGAGCTGTGATTGAGGCTGAGTGAGGAGCTGTGAGTGAGTGAGTGAGTGAGTGAGGGGCTGGGGGGGGTGTGTGAGTGAGTGAGGAGCTGAGTGAGTGAGGGGCTGGGGGGGTGTGTGAGTGAGTGAGGAGCTGAGTGAGTGAGGGGCTGGGGGGGGGGGGGGTGTGTGAGTGAGTGAGTGAGTGAGTGAGGGGCTGGGGGGGGGCGTGTGTGAGTGAGTGAGTGAGGGGCTGGGGGGGGCGTGTGTGAGTGAGTGAGGGAGGGAGGAGGGAGGGGCTGAGGGGGGTGTGAGTGAGTGAGGAGCTGAGTGAGTGAGGGGCTGGGGGGTGTGAGTGAGTGAGGGGCTGGGGGGGTGTGAGTGAGTGAGGGGCTGGGGGTGTGTGAGTGAGTGAGGAGCTGTGAGTGAGTGAGTGAGGGCTGTGAGTGAGTGAGGGCTGTGAGTGAGTGAGGGGCTGGGGGTGTGAGTGAGTGAGGGCTGTGAGTGAGTGAGGGGCTGTGAGTGAGTGAGGGGCTGGGGGGTGTGAGTGAGTGAGGGGCTGGGGGTGTGTGAGTGAGTGAGGAGCTGTGAGTGAGTGAGGGGCTGGGGGGGGAGTGAGTGAGTGAGGAGCTGTGAGTGAGTGAGTGAGGAGCTGTGAGTGAGTGAGTGAGGGGCTGTGAGTGAGTGAGGGGCTGTGAGTGAGTGAGTGAGTGAGTGAGTGAGGGGCTGTGAGTGAGTGAGTGAGGGGCTGTGAGTGAGTGAGGGGCTGGGGTGGTGTGATTGAGTGAGGGGCTGGGGTGGTGTGATTGAGTGAGTGAGTGAGTGAGTGAGTGAGGGGCTGGGGGGGTGTGACTGAGTGAGTGAGTGAGTGAGGGGCTGGGGGGGGGTGTGAGTGAGTGAGTGAGGGGCTGTGTGTGTGTGAGTGAGTGAGGGGCTGTGTGTGTGTGAGTGAGTGAGTGAGGGGCTGTGTGTGTGTGTGTGTGTGTGAGTGAGTGAGTGAGTGAGGGGCTGTGTGTGAGTGAGTGAGGGGCTGTGTGTGTGTGTGTGAGTGAGTGAGGGGCTGTGTGTGTGTGTGTGTGTGTGTGTGAGTGAGTGAGTGAGTGAGGGGCTGGGGGGTGTGTGTGAGTGAGGGGCTGTGTGTGTGTGTGAGTGAGTGAGTGAGGGGCTGTGTGTGTGAGTGAGTGAGTGAGTGAGTGAGTGAGTGAGTGAGGGGCTGGGGGTGTGTGTGAGTGAGTGAGGGGCTGTGTGTGTGTGAGTGAGTGAGTGAGTGAGTGAGTGAGGGGCTGTGTGTGTGTGTGTGAGTGAGTGAGGGGCTGTGTGTGTGTGTGAGTGAGTGAGTGAGGGGCTGTGTGTGAGTGAGTGAGTGAGTGAGTGAGTGAGGGGCTGTGTGTGTGTGTGAGTGAGTGAGTGAGTGAGGGGCTGGAGGTGCAGTTGGAGGCTTGTGGGTAGTTGCAGCCGCCCTGCGGTGCGGGAGATGCGGGATGGTGCGGCCGGTGGGTGTGCGCCTGTCCGCCGCCCTGCGCTCGGCTCGCACCCTCCGCCCGGAGCCCGACTCTTCACACATGGAGCGGCGGGCGGCGGCGGCGGCGGCGGGTCCCGTTCAGCCCACAGCCCCACCACCTCCCGACCAAGAAGATACTGCTCACCCTCCTGTACTTGATGTCCGGGGCGTTTACAGAAGGCAGCCCAGGGGGTGAGTGTCTGCCATGGCTCCACACACACACACACACACAGACACACACCACCACACGCTTTTGTTGCAGTTTATTGTTTCTTTTTCCAGTTCTTCTTGTTGATAAGGGTCCATTTGCAAACCCCTCTGTCTCCAGATTATACGAAGAATAACTGAAGTGTCCACTCGGGTAACCGTTAGACCAAAGTCGACGAGACACTGATCGACGAGTCATTGCACTTCACAGTAAACCCCCCATGAAATGCCTTAAGATGTTCCCCCGATGTGTACGTTCGCTGTATCAAAATGCAAGTGTTGTTCTTATCATAATACTGTGTTTTTCAGAGTTTCCTTTTGTTTTCCTTCATTCCAGTTCAAAATGCTTGTGCTGCTGGAGAAGCTACAAAGTGCACTGAATGTCTTCTCCTGGGTCCTGAATGTGGATGGTGTTTCCAAGAGGTAGTTGTTTATTGATGTATTGGTGTAAAATGCTTTGTATAGTAAATACAAATTATATATTTTTTTTAAAAAAAAGAAATGGCCCTCTTCCTAAGTGCTCATGAAAAGACAATGATCAGGAACTAAAACGATCAAGTTTATCATTTTAGAAAATGTAAAAGAAAATTAAATATTTCTGCTATTATATTTCTGCTTTTACATTAAGTGCATCAATTAGTTTATTTCCAATAAGACAATATTAAATAGTTGGACAATTGAAATTGACTCCTGTGTCTTGGGTCACTATCCATTGAAATGAGTGAAGGTGTGCCAGAATCAACAAGCAAAGACGAGTGATGATTTGTGTAGGTTTCATATTAATTTACTAACATAGATTGCATGGTAATAATAATAACCCATGTATTTGATACAGCACCTTATCACTTCAAGACATCTCAAAGCACTTCACAAGGTGTACTTTAAAGTTTTACTGTGTATTTTGTGGGCAAAATTGGCACAATTATGTTATGAACACATTGACTTACAAATATTCTGTCTCCGACTAATGATCCAGGATTTCTTAGAAGATCCACTACAGAATACGAGATGTGATTTGGTCACTAATCTAATTCGAAAAGGCTGCAATTCAAATCTTATTGAATTTCCTGTGGCCAAGATTAACATAGAAGAAAGTCAACTTTCGCAACTGGCTCCCAGCAAAGTCTCTTTGCATCTCAGACCAGGTTTGAATCTTAATATCTCCCTTATTAATGTTGAAATCATATTGAGAGATCCACTAAGGAAATGTTTACAGTACTCTGACTGTTTTCCATGTAATTTGGAATCTCTTCGAAGTTTCCATAAATTTGGTTTCCTTTGTTTATTTTAATTTGGTGGAATAATTGCAATTGAGGTGAATAGAAAGCTTATAATAAAAAAAACAGTCTCAGTAAGTACTGTCAATAATGCAATAGTTCTTTCTTTCCATTTAATTGTAAGTTACTCTCTTGGCATTGTACAAGATTTTAAATTCAGTGTTCACTTCTTTCAAAAATACTGTATTGGCATGCATTGCTTGAAAGGGTAGTGCAAGCGGATTCGATTGTCGCTTTCAAAAAGGAGTTGGATATGTACTTGAAAAGAAAAAAATTGCAGGGTTATAGGGTGAGAGCGTAGTGGGACTATTTGGATAGCTCTTTCAAAGAGCTGACACAGACACACACCTCCTTCTCTGCTGTAAGATTCTATGATTCTATGTTCTGTTTTATTATTGATGCTTTACCAGAACAGGTGATTGCACTGACCATAACTAGTAACTGTGAGCTGAATTGATATTGAAATATACTCCCTTAAAAATTGCCATTCAATTTTCAAATGAAAAGACAAGTTGTAACTTGTCACGTCTGGCGTACTCCAGGGCTCTGTCCTTTGCCCTCCCTTCTTTAATATCTACATGTTCCCCCACAGACATGGGGTCAACTTCCATATGTATGTGGATGACACCCAATTCTATCTTTCTGCCTCCACCCTCAACTCCAGGACCACTGCTGTCCTGACAGACTGTCTGTCGGACATCGTCCTGGATGAGGGCAAATTTCCTACAGTTGAATGTGAACAAGACTGAGGCCCTCCTGATTGGCTCACGCCAGTGCCTCAGCACCTCAGGCTCTGGCAGCATCAACCTCCATGGTTGCACACTTCAGCTCACCAAACCAGTCAGGAACCTCGGTGTCTTGTTCGACCCTCAATTGTCTTTTCTTCCCCACATCCAAGCCATGACCCGCTCTGCCTTCCCTCACCTCCGTAACATCGCCCAACTCCGCCACTACCTCACCCCTCAGGCCGCTGAAACTCTTGTTCACGCCTTCATCACCTCCAGGCTCGACTATGCAAATGCCCTGCTTGCCGGCCTTCCCAACTCCTCCCTCCACAGGCTGCAGATAATCCAGAGCTCTGCAGCCCATGCCCTCTCCTGCACCAAACTCTGACCCCATCTCCCCCATTCTCGCCCGACTCAATTGGTTCCCTATCCTTTAGAGGATCCAGTTCAAGATCCTGGTCCTCACCTATAAAGCCCTCCATGGCCTCGCCCCACCCTACCTCTGCGACCTCCTAACCCCCTATCAACCTGCCTGCTCCCTCCGCGCAGCCGGCTACGGCCTGCTCCACATCCCCCAACCCACCTGCCCCACCATTGGCGGGAGAGCCTTCAGCCACTCTATCCCCTACCTCTGGAATTCCATCCCCCAGTCACTCTGCCTCGCCCCCTCCTTAGCCTCCTTCAAGTACCGTCTCAAAACTCTCCTCTTCAGCAATGCCATCAGTCACTCCCCTTCCCCTCCCTTCTCCCTCCCCTTGACCCCAGCTCGGGTCTGAAATGCTGTACACTGTCCAGTGCCTTGGGACATCCGCCCGACGTGAAAGGCGCTACACAAATGTAATGTTGTTGTTGTTGTTGACAGCGTTCCTTAAATATGCCATGCCATGCCCCAACAGATCAAATTCAACATCCTTGTCCTGATATTCCCTCCAGGACCTTCCACCAATCTATCCTTGTGACATCCTATAACCCTACCGATCTAACCTATTAGGGCTTTCGTCCATTCTGCCCCTGGTCTCTGGAACACCCTAATGGAGTCCCTCCAACTCGCCCCCTTCCTGCTTTTAAAGCCTGAGTCAAGACTTACCTCTTTGATCATGTTTTTGGTCATCTTTTTCTCCCCCGTCACCCTCTTCAGCTCTCTTGTCCCCACCTCCCCACCCCCAGCCTCGGGTATGTAGCCAAATTTGTGAAGCGCTTTAAGACGTTGCTGTGAAAGGCGCCATACAAATGTAAATTGTATTGTTTGCTGGATTGAACATTGTGCTCATCGAACTCACATTAGTCAGTGCTGAAGACATTGTCATGTGGAATGTCCATGAGCTGTTTGTTTTTCATTTAACCTCACGACCCCACCAAAATGTAATTGTACATTGTGGTATACAATACATCATTGGCTGGTTATGAGCTTTGAGATGAAGGCACATCCAAGTGACTCTTTACTTATTATTACTGTATTGCTAAATTGCAGTACATGTACTGTGCTATCTCTCAGCCACATCAAGACAGCTGTCCACATTGAAGAAAGGTCACTAATTCTTTGAAAATTCTCATAAACAAAAGAAAAATGAACGCTTCAAAAAAAGTTATAAAAAGTAACAGATTGCAATAAGTAAGTTTCAGTGCAGAGTTTGGGTTTGAAGTGACCTTATCTACCAAGTGGCAACTTGGTTTGAACTCTGTAATTTTTCCCTTGTCCATTTAGGATCAGGCCTTTCATTAGAACCAACGACATCAGGACAATTTTCACATATGCTGTTGTGAAATTGTCTGCTCTGTGGTAAATGTTAAGTGAATTAGCTCAGCTTTCACAGTTAAACATACTGTTTCTGCATCTTCCAAATGGTCCATGCCGATTACTTTTTTCAGAGCTACTTTTACATGTCATTACCTAAACAAGTTAACATAGCCAGAGAATTATGGCATAGGATGTGCTTGCCAACTCTTAATTTATCAGATTGTTATTGTTAGCCCAGTTCAGATAACTGTCAGGTCTTGTACATGTAATATGTAGCTGATGGTACACTGGGCACCAAGAGTACAGAAGGAGGGCACAATAATTAGCCAGAGGCGACTGTGGACTTTATATTTCCAATGGCTTAAAATAAATGGTCATTTTACCTTGTTTATAAATAAAGACGATGCATTTCCCAATTGTCATCTGTCACCTTATAAAACCATAAACTAAGGATCCCCTCAGAACGGTAAGATGTGAGCTTGCATCAGTGGAGTCAATCGAAGTGGCTTTGTCAAAGAAACATGGGACAATAAATGCATCATTCAGGGTCATAATTATAACCGGCGGAAATTATCACATCATCTGACTTTCCACTGCAAAAGATAACCTAGTTAATAAATGGCTGAGGGGGGAACAATTTCTCACCACCCCCCCATCCCCACCCCCACCTTAGTGAAAATGGTAAGGCCCCAAATTGCTTGCGGCAGTCATTGAGCCAGCTTTGGGTTTCCACGTGAGTCAGACCTGGCTAGTCACGGTGGTGGGTTTCTGCATGTGTCAGACAATCGGCTGATCCTAGTGATGGGTTTTCGCGTATGCCAGACATTTAGCTGAGCAAAAGAACAAACAATCCTCTGTGACTAAATGTTTTCTGATCTCATTTTTCACCAGCTTAGCTCTCATGGTAAGATTACTTCAGTATTTTTCAAACCGTAGATGCTACTGGAAGCAAAATAACAAGCTGATTCATTGAGAGTATTAGATTCTTAGGAGTTGTGAGACTGGAAGGTGGATGAAGAATAAAATCATAACTGGAACCTTTGTGCCTCAATACCACATGCATTTGATATAGAATATAATACATTTACAATACAATTTACATTTATATAAAATATACAGTCAATTCTGTGAAGCGCTTTGAGACGTCTGGAAGACGTGATAAGGCGCTATATCAGATGCAAAGATTATTATTATATATAATGCCTTTTACCTCGGGAGGACGTTTCAAAGCGTTTGATACTGCTGGCTGGGCACCCGAGCTGCAGGTGTGAGTTGAAGAGGTTAGGGAGGAGAAAGGTGATCAAAAGTGCAGTCAAAGAGCATATCTTGAGAAGAGAAGTGAATGGAAGTAGTGAAGGGTGAGGGATAGAAGATGAGGGCACTTTGGAGGTGGAAATAACTCAGGTCAGGGGCGGTAGACAAAAATACACACGCCGAGATTAAGATCATGGTATCTGCAGATAATGGCCAGGCTTGCTAGCATGGAGGAGGCAGGGAGGAGGGTAAAAGAGTGTTACAGAGCACTGGAAGTAGCAATCATAATTGAAATTATTTGTTTATTAATTTAGACACAATCCTAAATTGAGTGAGTGAGATGGATTGAGTGAGGGCTTACTAGTGAATGCAACAGCAGCTTGTATTTTTATAGAGCCCCCCACACAAGTAGTGTTTTGGAGCACTCAAAAAATAATGAAAAAGAATAAAAAGGAATCCCGAGAAAAATAAAAAAAGTACTTGGCCTTTGTTTTTATAATCCCACTGGATGTGATGTCATGGAACAATTTTTCTGCAGGTCATTCTGGACTGCACTGCTCCTCTTCCCGTCTGTTCTGATCAATAGATCCTGACCACCATCCTCCTTATATCTCTGGACATAGGAATTTGCATGGTGGGATGAATGGAATTCTCAGTTTAGTTTGGCTACTCATAATCACGTTGATGGGTTTCCACATATTTCCACACCCGGCTGATCAAAAAATATATGCATCTCTGTCCTGCACCTTCTAAAGCTTATAAAGCTGGAAAGGTTTATAAGACAGGACAGACTGCAAAGTGCATCCTGTAGGTGATAATTTCTCAAATGAAGTGTTTACTAATTTAAGTCCAAATACAATTACAATCCTTTTTTAAATACTCTTTTTAGTGGAATCCTGTTACGCTATCTCATCAATAATACACAAATTGAAACCAGAGTGGAACTCCCGCTGTCCATACCAGAATTAGCAGATGATCTGATCAGACACCTGTCACAGCTGACATAATAATAAGAATAATCTCTGCATTTGATACAGCGACTTTTTCACATCATTGAGATGTCTCACAGCACTTCACAGAATATGCTGTAAACTGGATTGACTACTTTTTGGGTGAAAGGTGACAACCACTTGTCCCACAAACATTCACCAATTTTATTTGGGGGGCTTGTTGGCCAGGACACAGGGAGAAACTTGCTTCTCTTTTTGAATAGTACCATGAGATCTTTAACGCCCACCTGAACAGGCAGACAGAACTTCGGTTTAATGTTTCATCCAAAGGATGGCGCCTCCGGCAATTCAATATACCCCCAGCACTGCATTGTAGTGCTTTGGCAATGTGATTCCAAGTCCCGACATGGGGCTTGAACCCACAACCTTCTGACTCAGACGAAAGAGTGCTATGACTGAACCAGGCTGACACACAATATAGTTTTCTTGGCCACTTGGCTATTGACCCATGTTTCACAGTGGGATAGTGACAGGTGCAACAGTAGACTTCTTTTCAAGTAGAATTTGCTTCTGTCACTTTAATTGAAATGAAGAGCAGGAGAGGCCCTGCAATGAGGTGGAGTTTTGTGATGGAACAGCAGCTCACAAATAAAGTAAAAGTAGCTTCCTTTTGTTTCCAACAAGAATCAAAATTAAAACCATGAATATATTGGGTTCAAAATTGCATATCACTTTCTGTTACTTCATAATTGCCAGAGAAATTAAGGAACACCCTATTGACTGGAAACTGACAAGCTTAAGACTGAACAAAATAATGTCTTTATCATCTTTAATTTATTTTTAGTTTAGCAAGAGATTAAACAAATTACCAATTTTCATTATTGGGGGGGATTGTTGCTAGGACACCAAGAGAAACTCACTCCTCTTTTTGAATAGTTACATAGGATCTTTAACATCCACCAGGTGGATGGGATCTCAGTTTAAGGTCTTATCCGAAGGACCGGATTATTGACTTAATCATTGTACGTGATTATTTTTTTTCTCAGGTACTGAGGCAAGCTTCATTCTGAAGGTTCAGCGACTTGATGATTATCCTCTCGATCTCTACCATCTGGTTGATACTTCAGCATCGATGGTGGCCAATCTGGAAAGGTTAAACTCTGTGGGATATTCTTTGTCACAAAAGATGGCTACATTTTCCAGCAATTTCCAATTTGGGTTTGGATCGTTTGTTGACAAGCCTGTTTCTCCATTCATTAACATTCAGCCAGACAAACTTGTCAATCCATGCAGGTACAATACAAAATAAATTTAGGTTTATAAAACGCCTTTCAGAGGACATCCCAAGGCGCTTACCTGCCCAAGGCAGGTAAGGCGTTGGGGACAATCTATACATCCATTGTCATTTTTTCCCCTTTTTTATTTTATGTAAAAAATAACCAAAATACTTTTACTTTTTTCTTTTTCATGACAGTAATTATGAAACATTTTGCCTGCCAGCACACGGGTTTATAAATGTATTACCATTGACTGAAAACATTAGAGAATTCACAAAGGCTGTTGAAGAACACATTATTTCTGGAAATGAGGACACACCAGAGGGAGTATTGGATGCTATGCTCCAAGTTGCAGTTTGTGAGGTGAGCTTTGTTCTAAAAAACAAGATAACAGCTGCAGTGCTGTAGAGGCACAACATATTTTGTACCTGAGAAACATTGGATCTGATTCTCTGCTGCTCAATACATTTTGGCAGCTTGACAGGATGAACTGATAATGTGGGAACTCTTGTAATGAGTGCATTTATCAACCAAAAGAGAATCATCCATTCTCAGAAATAGTTTATATATACAAGCTTGTTTACATTCAGTTCATGTTACCATTTTAAAATTCTGGCTTGTTTATAAAAGGATTCCCAGAAGTCACAGTGGAAATCACCTAAATTTCTGACTTATGTTCACCCTCATGAAAAATAACTGGATCAATGTTTGTATTAACTTCTTCCCCAGGACGTTGAAAAACGTCTTGCCTCAGACCAAAAATATGGTCCACAACAAAGCTTTGCTCCCTCTCATCCGTGAATCTTCTACTTCAGGATTATATTGGAGTGCAACAATAACCCCAGACTCCTCTTCTACACCATCATCCATCTCCTTTGCACACTCTCCCATGCTCTCAAAATCCTTGCCTCCACCTTTAAATGTGAGGATTGTAGACTTACTGGTGTTCAAAATCGACAAGATCCACTCACCTGCCTTTGTTTGCACTAACTCTCCCCTTAACTCTCCCCCACCACCTCCATTTCTCACCTTGAATGAGCCAGAAGGCAGACGGTTGCATGCTCAAGCCCAACATCAGGATTTTGAGCTCATGATGCTGTATTGTCGGAATGCTGTGCTTTAGATGAGATGTTAAACCAAGGTCTCATCAATTTGTTCAGATGGACCTTAAATATCCCAAGACACTAAAAATGGAATAATGAGTATCGTTTTTGTTTGCAGATAATGTTTTTTTGCTTCAAGATTAAGATTCATCTTCGGCCTGAGTTCTGAGATGAATGTTCAATGGATCAATATTTATTTGACTATTTTAGTTTATTTTTGGTAGTTTTCTTAGTGTAACATTTTTCTTTGTCTCAGAATCATATAGGATGGCGTAAGGAAGCAAAACGCCTGCTTCTGATGATAACTGATCAGATATCTCACCTGGCACTTGACAGCAAACTGGGTGGGATTGTACTGCCTAATGACGGAAACTGCCATTTAAAGAACAATATCTACACTCATTCAACTATTATGGTAAAGTACTAAAATATCTTTAACGTATCAACTCAGATACGTGTTCCTTGGTCTAAATGTTACTGATTACCTTTTTTTTCAAAATAAGCTACTTGAAGAGGTAGTGTTCTAGTATCAATTAATCGATACAATACAGAAAAATTTCCATTTATATAGTGGCTTTCATGTTGGGAGGACATCTCAAGGCACTCAACACTGCTGCTGGCTGGGGTTAGAAGCTGAAGGGAGTGGGAGATTTGATCTGTGTTACATAAGAAATGCAAGATGAAAAACACCAAGATCCATCTAGTTCGCCTTCTACTTTCCTGGCAGTCGCATGCACTTATGTCCCAAACTACCTATATACTATATCCCATAATGTTATTTTCTAAAAGCAAACTAACTAATCTGTGTTTGAAAGAATCAATAATTCCTGCTTCAACCGTCTCCCAGGGGAGCCAGTTCCACAGTGTTGTATTGAATTTCCTAATTGATGAGCCTACAGCGCAAAAAACTGTTCCCAATTTGGTCCTGAATTGGTGAAAGATGTCTCAGATAGGCTACAAAGCAGTTGTTGGAAACGTAAATTCCCTTGGGCTTTAAAATGTTGTGATTTTTTAATAAGGAGTGCAAACGGGGACTCTTTCCAGTTAACCAGAAATAGGTCACTCCGATCCATTGGTAGTTTTTGACCACATTTTCGGTCACCTTTTTCCCTATTCCTGCCCTCATCTGCTTTCCTCTTCCCCAGGTCAAGCTCCCAGCCAGTTTTGTGAAACGCTTTGAGATAGCCTCCCGATGTGAAAGTCACTATATCAATGTAAATTGTAGTTATTGGAACTCTGTTAGCTTCTGTCAGTAACTTTTCTTGTTAGTAACTTCTGGTTACCAGAACCAATCCCAATTTACTACTCGTGGGTAATTAGAAATTGCCACATTTTAGGTCCAAGTGATGGTTCATGTTCTGCTCCATTTACTGAGGGCAATAAATCTGTTTTTTGCATTCATCTATATGTGTGCATTACAAGACTCACAAAATGCACACTTTACAATATATTCTGTGAAGAGCTTTGAGACATCTCAATGACGTGATATTAGGCGTTATATCAAATGTAAGGATGATTATTCTAATTAGATTTAGCAACCAGAGATGGAGAATCACAATCATTAATGGGCTTTAATTTCAGAATCAAAGAAAATTAAATTACTGGTGGCAGTAGCACCAAAAATAAACATTGAGTCTATGGATCATTGCCCAACGCAGAATCCCTCATTTTACAATTGTTGCACAGAATGCTGCACATATGTGGCTAAAAATAATTTACTGGCTAATTTGTTTTGTTATATAACCTAAACAAAAGCATCAAAGTAAAAATATTATGAGATTGATTATCAATTTGCAGAATTAACATTGTACGACTGAGATTCTTTGCATTATCTGGCAACCATGGAACAATTAGCCAAATCTAGTCAAATAGCTGTCTGATGGATTGTTGAACACATTTGCAGGATATTGTTCATTTTAATGCTCTGATAGTTGGAACCGCGCTTAAACCATATGATTGTATTGCATTTGGATGCTGTGGCACTTGCTTATTAGAGTTCTTTGCCCAAGTATGATTTTCAGCAGCCTCTCACTGTAAAGCGATGAGAGGAGTAAAATTCCACCTGGCTCTAGATTTACTTTAGGTTGAAAGTTCAGAATTTAGCAAATTGTTGAATTGGGTGTTAACTTTGAAGCTGGATTTCTACAGCCACATTTTTGAAGATCAGCTTCAAAGTTAAGATTGAATTTAGCAAACTGCCAATTGTTGCACAGTCTGAAATGCTACATGAAGAGATAAAGTTTAATGCCTGATATCCCTTGATACTCTTAATAAAAAAAATCCTTGGATTTGATATAGCTCCTCATCACGTCTTCTAGACATCTCTAAGCGATTCACAGAATATATTGTAAATTGAATTGACTGTATATTTTGTGGGAGAAACGCAACAGCCAATTGCGCACAGCAATATCCCACAAATAGTTGTGGATTGAGTGACCAAATTACTATTATTGATAATTCTTTTAAGGGATTATTACCCCCAGAAAAGCAATCCTCCAATCGACTAACAACCGGGTTCCTATTTACTGCTAGGTAAACAGAGGCCTGTGGAGTAAGGAAACTTAACCAACGTTTCGCCCTGCTTGGAAATCAAACTCAGGTCCACTTGCTTGAGAGACGAGTGCTCTTACCCTAAGCTGCAGGACTGCACTATCCACCTCAGTCTTGAAAATTTGAATAGATCCAGCATCCCCAGCTTTTTGGGAGAAAAAGTTCCAGATTTCCACTATCCTTTGCATGAAAACATTCTTCTGGTTTCACTCCTGAATGGCCGAGCTATAATTTGAAGTTTATGCCCTCTTGTTTTGGATTCCCCCATCAGAGGAAATAGTTTCTCTGTAGCTACCCTATCACATCCATTTATTTTCTGAATTGATGTTCACATTCACTTACTTTTCAACAGGGTCATTGTATAGCAATCACAGACACATTTTGGGGGAAAAATTCTAGATATACTTTATGTAGCATTTCAGAACATTTGACAAATTTGGCAAATTCTTAAATACAGCCTTAATTTTCTTTTATGAACCACAGAAAACAGACTCCAAATTAAGACTAAATGAAACAATTTGCCAAATTCTGGATGCCCTAAAATGTTACATACATTTCTCCTCAGAAATGTTCTTAGTCTTATCTTTAAAACCATTCTCTTAAAAAGTAAGATTGTGCAGAATTATGCAAAATTCTTACATTTAGGCTTAATTTGGAAGCTGTTTTTCTCCAATTCTCAAGAGAACTAACCAGTGGTGTTCCATAACAGAGACATTTGTTTTGAAAGCGTAAATCAATAGTGAACCAATTGCTTTCCTGGAAGTCTGTTTCACAAAACTTTAACATGTGGTGGAAAAAATCCTTCTTGTTTTGCTTGAGGCTTGTTAACTTTAAACTCATGTCCCTGGTGGGAAAGCACAAAGAGGAACTGTGAATAAAGGTCCTAGATTAATGCTAATCTGTCAGCAGTAGTTTATTTAAATGTCAAACTTTCCTCGGACTTTGATGACCTCCAAATGTCACAAACAGTGGGCATGTTTGAATGTCTGGTACTGACTGCTCACCCCAACTCAAATCTGGAAGTACAAGACAGGCAGCCACTATATCTCATGTTTTAGCCGTAAGAAAGTTTAAGTTGTGCAGCATGTTGGAAAAGTTCAGGTTTAATTTGGAAGCTGGTTTTCCATAGTTCATGAACAAAATGCAAGAAAGGATTAATAACAACAACTTGTATTTATATTTCCTTCTTTACGTAGAATAATGTTTCGGAGTGTATTGTAGTAACAGTGCTGGATACCAAGCAGGGAGGGTGGGGGAAGAGAGAGGTGACCATAGGCATGGACAAAGCGGTAGAGTTTGAGTTATTTTATCCTGTAAAAATCTAGCTTCCAGTATGAGATGGTTCTAACAGTGAATTTTAGGCTGTTTACTAAAATTCTGCACAGTCTTAAATTTTACGACAATGGTTTTAAGACTAAGAACATAACTCTATTTTTCTTGGATTCACTTTCTTTCATGAAAAGTGTACTTTTAAAGCTGTAACTTATTTATGGATGAAGAAAGCCCCAATGATAACTGGTTGGAGACAGCCCATTTCGGATCATCCTTCCAGGCCATTTCTTACATTACGTTACAGACTACTATTTTGCCATTTGGGTTGATTTTCATTGAAGATTCAAGTGTTATGTATATTTGTGTTCTGACTACCAATAGGAACATCCATCTGTAGGTCTGCTGGTGGATAAACTGCTGGAAAATAATATTCATGTCATTTTTGCAGTTCAGGGATCACGCATCACATGGTACAAGGTAAGATTTGCATGTTTGATAAACAATTTAATGTCACATTTATGATAATCCTGCATTTGATATAGTGCCTTTCACAGCAGGAGAATATCTCAAAGCATTTCACAGGATTTACTGGCGGACAGGGCAGCCAATTTGCACATAGCTATGTCCTAGAAATAGCCATGAAATGAATGATCAATATTATCCGGGGCATTGTTGGCTAGGATTCTAGGAAAAACTCACTTCTCTTTTCAAATAGTGCCATGGGATGATTGATGTCCACCTGAACAGATAGCCAGAACCTTGGTTTAACAACTCATCTAAAGAATGGCATCTCCAACAATACAGCATGACCCAAGCAATGTATTGTTTGCAAATTTGAGTAATTTTGTTAAACACAGTAAACTGGAATTGTTGCAGACCATTGTTAAAAGGCAGAAGCAGAGTATGTAAAAGAAGCTAATAGAAGACTAAAAATGAAATAATTTTTGTGCTAAGAATAATGAACAGTTTATCTGTTGAGCATCAATATCATTTTAATCTGCTGCCGATGTTTGGCACTTGAAATGATAAACTCTGTGCTGCTACACCAGCTAAAGTACACATTTAGGGTGATCCTTTGGGACTGAAAATAAGAATGGAATGTTTGGTGAGGCTGTTTCTCATTCCCTCTTTGCAACCAAAGAAAAATAGAAAAATATTTGTGTGTCTTTTGCTGTTCGTGGAGCTTGATTGGAAAGTGCATGATACAACTTAGGCTTTTGAGATTGAAGAGCGATATGTAGCATTAGATCTCTACATCCAAGAATGCTTCTCCTTTTCATAGGAAATCTTTGGTTATCTTTTTTCTTTCCTATTGTTCTTTATTTGGTGGATTCTGCTATTAGGTTCTTGTCCTTTCAATTCTATATTGTACTGTAGTTGTAAGATGCAATGTGGGTCCCCTCCCTCCGCTCCGTTCTGCATCATGTCCCCCGCCTTGCCCACCCCACCATTGGCTGGCAGGCCTTCAGCCACTCTGCCGCCACCCTTTGGAACTCCATCCCGCACTCCCTCCGCCTCACCCCCTCCTTTGCCTCCTTCAAGACCTATCTCAAGACCCTCCTCTTCAACTGTGCTTTCGATCACCCTCCTTCCCCCACTGCTCTCCACCCTCCCCAATCCCGACACTCAGCTCGGGTCTGAAACACTGACTGTCCAGCACCTTGGGACGTCTTCCCGACGTGAAAGGCTCTACACAGATGTAATTTTGTTGTGGGTCTGTAAAGGATTTCCTGACTCCCATGAGTTTTGTGGCTCAAAACAGTAGAAAAGATCACAATTCAGGATCAGATAAATATCCTTCTGCTAATTTGGCCCACCCTTCCACAATACAAAACCATCAAGCTGTTTCTTAAATGAGTGGAATGTATTGGCGTGAGCTTCACAATCCATTTTTTTGATTTTAACAAAATTTTAATTGAAGCATTTTATAAAGTTCAACAGGCTGGAGTGTACAGACATTTTCAGCAAATATGGTTTGAGAGAAATGTTCAAGTGTGAAATGTTTGTCCTGTACATTGGCCCATGGGCATATTCAATGTTGAAGTCTTGAAATCAGAAATATTAGATCACAGGACTAGAGATGAAATGTAAGATTTCTTGATTTATTTCAATAAGGTAAGACATAAGATCAAATGCAAGGATTATTAAAATCACAAGATTTTAAATTAGTTGTATTAGTTGGACTAGCAGTCTAATCAGCCAGACATTAGTTGAGGCAGAACAATTGAACAGCTTAATTTTTACAAAGCTTATTTATTGTTTTTTAATATATTAATTGAGCAAACTTAATCAGCTTGCTTTGAAATGACTGAATATAAACAACTTCTTCACTTTATTTCTTTAAAGGATCTTATTCCGTTGATGCCAGGGGTAGTTGCAAAGCAGCTGAATTCAGAATTATCCAATCTCTCCGAGTTGGTAGCAGATGCCTATCAGGTATAGAAATTATTTTTGCTGTCACTTTTTCACCTGTCTACAATGTTGATCTCATCCTTCCGAATATTGACCCACCTAACACCGCATTACAGCATCAAGCTGTATTTTTTTCTAAATGAATCCAATGTGTACGGATGAATGAAAGTAATAACTAATAAGTAATAACAATCAGCAATTGCGCAAAAGTTTACAAATGTATTAGCCTAAACAACCCTCCCTATGTATTGCCTGCTGTGTGAGGAAAACCTTCTTGGTGTCTGTCTTAAACTTGCTCTTCCCAAGCCTGTGCCCTCTTATCCTCTTTTGATATATCTATAAGCATTATTCAGAACTTCTCGTTCCCATTAAGTAGTTTATATTCACCTATAATGTCCCCTCTGAGTCATCTCACTTAGTTTCATGTTTTATTCCTTGTTGCTCATCTATCTAAAACTAGGGATCAGCCTTGTTGCTTTGCTTTTACTGGTTGGTCAACACTTCTATCACAGTGACCAAAAATGAATGTACTGTTCAATTTCAGCATGACTTCTGAGGAATTGAACTCAATAGATTGAGCAACATAACCCAGCACCCTCTTCACTTTGTTTAATGCTGCCTCACACAGTCTCGATTTGGTGAGCAACAAATCACCCTTAGGTCTCTTTCAACTTCTCCTTGGAAGTTCCATACCATTCATGAAATATACTTGCCTCCTATTTTTAGTTTCAATATGCAGCACATTAAACTTGCCTGTAATGAAAACGAACATTTAAACACTTCCCTTGTCAACCAAGAGCCGGGTGGGTGAATCTTTGATTTTCCTTTTACAGGCTAACTATGGCTGACAAATTTATTGACCAACAGAAAATTACTCCTCTGCGGGTGACAAGCAGCAGTGCTTTTCTGTTCTTGGATCATAATTGACCCAATGATGATCCTGACCTTTCCCACACTAGTACTTTGCCTTACCAACACTTGGTATTTCTAAGACCTTGTAAACTGCTTCCTTGGCCTTTTTTTTGGTGTGTCTTGAATTCTTGAAGGCTTTAAGTGGACCAGATGTAAAGAGCAGTCAGTTTAACTTTTCCATACAAGCTATTTCTGTGACATTGATGTGGTTTTTTTTCAGTCAAACTAAACATTCCACTGCTTGATGAGATGTTGGTGTATATTAAACTTTGTGTGTGGGTTAGAGATCTCACTATAGACTGACTGCCTGTAGCACAATGGGTGGAAATTTGTCGTACAGTGATTGATTATGATAATTTTCACTAGTAATAATTATTATCATCACATAACACAAATTTATCCCCCTATATTTAAACTTAGTCACTTGTTGAAGTTGACATCAACTTCCTGTTCCAGTTGAACATGAAGTGAAGTTAATAATAATAATAATAATCCTTGCATTTGATATAGCGCTTTTCACGTCAGGAGGACTTCCCAAAGCGCTTCACAGAACACACCATAAAGTGAATTGACTGTATATTTGTGTGCGAACGCGTCAGCCAATTGCGCACAGTAATGTCCTACAAACAGTCGTGGTTTGAAAATGACCAATTTATTATTGTTTTTGGTTTTGGAGGGATTATTATTAGGCGTGTGGAGTAAGGAAACTTGCCCAAGGTTTCGCCCTGCCTGGAATTGAACTCAGGTCTCTCGCTTGCAAAGCGAGTGCTCTAACCACTGAGCTACAGGACTCCACAAGTTGATGATAACTCATTTTAGCAGGAGAGCCAGCACAGGAGCGAGTCACCTGGCTGTGTGGACACCAGTCAAACCCGCCCTTGTGTATTGTTAGAGGGTGGGTTGGGACTGTATGGATTCTGATAATATTTCTGCGAAATGCCCCAGATTAATATTGAAAAACAAAAGGAGCACTGCTTGGTGGAGAAACCTTGGAAGCAGGTTGCTCAAAAAACACACCAATAGTTTATTCTGTCCACCCAGGATATTTACATAGCTGAAACTGTAAGGCATCTGTTTTTCTTTATTTTAATTTGTGCCTCTTTAAGTTGATAAAATGTGGTTGGTGCACAAAGGAATTAGCCCTTATCTCTGCTGCTTGGTTAGTTTATTTGGCTGTTGATAGGTATTAGTGGGAAAGGTTTACGGTTAACTAAATTGTAGCCACTTGAAAGTTTTTTTTCCCCCCCAAGAAAATGTTCTGTTTTGGAACAAAAGCATTTACGTTTCAGTCATTCTACAGATTTCATACCAGAACTGGCATATTGATGGAGTTTGAAAACTTTTTGTGAATTAAATCCAGAAGTGACCTGTATTTCAGCCAAGTTTCATTGGACAGTGTTTTTTTAATGCGGTTACACAAAGATGTGAGTTTGAAGTTTGTTAAGTGCGGCTGTGCCAAAAGCATTGAAATCTATGCTGTGTTGTTCCCTATTTGTTTAAAGTATTTGTCACTAATTGAAATGTACTGTTGTTATATTGAAGAAGGAATTATCTTTTGTGGCACAAAACTAACTCTTCAGTTAGGAAGTAATCCAAAAGACAGGAAACAGTAGGGAAGTTATTGGGAAACCCTGGCTAATAATATTGTATTACAATATTTGTCTTTGTTGGGTGGGCTGAATCACCCTGTAAAATATCACACTTGAACATAATATATATTTATGTCTTTCACATTGGTGGGGGACATCTCAAAGAGCATGGCACTGCTGGCTGGGCACCCGAGCTGGGGGTAGGAGCGAAGGTGATGGGAAAAGGAAAGATGACAGAAAGAGGACTTTGAACTACTGGTCTGTGATCACATGCAGCCACACCTGGTCAGCTTGTCACTGGCTTCCCATTTTGGGTGCCCATGTGCATCTCAGCACAGGTTTAAATGCAAATGAACACTCTGTCTATTCTGGTCTAACAGTGTGCCTTAGCTCCAACTTCAGCAGGTTTTTACTGCACCAGTGTGACATTTTGCAGTCCCTACATCAATCTTCCTTGAGTTTCCTACAAGTTAGATTTTTAATTCTAAGCAGATTCAACAGATTTTGTTTGCTGTAAATCTACACCCATTAGGAAGGGAATTGAGAATTCCCAAATTCATTTCATGTAGGACCCTCCTGACCAAAAAATAGAGGGGATTCAAACCCAGGCTCTAGAGATAAAAGGCCAATTTGTTAACCAACTGTTACCTGCCTAAAAAGATATTAAGGTAGATTTATGGCATTTGTTTAACCCATTCCTTGTGTTAATTAGCACAAGAGATGAGTTAAGAAATGCCACCGATTTCTCCCTATTGCTTACTGGCAGTGCCTCTGTACCTTATTTGACACTAGCCTGTATTCAATAGCTATATGATCATAAGCAGTCCTGCTTGCTTTCTGATGTAAACAACACATAGAAAAACATTGTTGTGACCACAGACATTACACAGATTAAATATGGATCAAATATGGATCATAGTTTACAAGGGGCAAAGTTCTGTTTGTGTTTTGTAGTTTGCTCCGCTACGGTTAAGTGCTCCAAGATGGTACCCCGCGTGAAGAGCGCTATATAAACTCAAGTTATTGTTGTTGGTGGTGGTTCTCTAAGAACAATACAATCACTCGGATATCATGCTGTGTAACGTGTAGATTGAGAATGTGGAGTTCTGTAGCTTAGTAGTTAGAACACTCGCTCGCAAGTGAGAGGATCTGGATTTGAAATTCCTGCCGGGGCGAAACGTTGGGCAAGTTTCCTTACCCCTCACGCCTCTGTTTACCTAGCAGTAAGTAGGAACCTGCTTGTTAATCAATTGGCAGATTGCTTTTCTGGGGGTAATAATCCCTTCAAAAAAATAAAAATAAAATATAATAATTTGGGCACTCAATCCACAACTGTTTGTGGGACACTGCCGTATGCAATTGGCTGCTACGGTTTGCCCACAGAATATACAGTCAATTCACTTTGCAGTATATTCTGTGAAGCGCTTTGAGTCGTCTCGGAGATGTGATGAGGCACTATATCAAATGCAAGGATTATTATTTGTAGAAGTGATGTGCTGAAAAGAGGACAGACTTGTTGTTCTATGAGACGATAAACCCATGTCCCATTTGGTTATTCAGGTGGAAGTTAAAGATCCCATGGCCTTATTTGAAAAGGAGAAGGGAGTTTCTCCTGGTGTTCTGCCTAATCCTGTGTCAGTCTGACTCAGTGGTAGCATTCTCACCTTTAAATCAGGAAGTTGTGGGTTCAAACTCCATGTAGGGACTTGGAATCACATCATCTAAAATGACACACTAATGTGGTGCAGGGGTGTGTTGCAGTGTCGGAGGCGCCATTCTTCAGATGAGATGTCAAACTGAGGTCCCGTCTGCCTGTTCAGGTGGATGTTAAAAATCCCATGGCACGATTCGAAAAGAGAAGGTAGTTTCTCCCGGTGTCCTGGCCATCAATCCCCCAAATAAAATCGGTCATTCACTTCATGGCTGTTTGTGAGACATTGCTGCGAGCAAACTGGCTGCCGCATTTTGCCCACAAAGCACATAGTCAATCAACTTGCAGTATATCTTGTGAAGCCTTTCGGTGACCTAATATCACAATATCTTGTAAAGCCCTTCAACGACATATTAAAGATTAATTCCTGATTTTAAAAGAAGTTGGTCATTCACTCCTTGGATGTTTGTGCTGTGCACAAATCGCCTGCCACATTTGCTCACTTTGTATTTTACGGAAAATTCTGTGAACACTGAGAAGTTCTGACTTGATAAAGCGGTACATCAAATGCAACAATTACAACAATTTACTTTTCACAATATCTGTGCACTTAAGGTAAGGGGAGGAAAAGAGGAACATTATTCGTGGAGGGGAGGAGGCCAAGTGGAAATAATTTAGAGGTTTGATAGACAAACATCATGAAGTTTTTGCTTCAGTTGTTTGTCATGAAATTATCCTCAATACCATGTTTTTCAAATAATAATAATCCTTGCATTTGATGTAGCGCCTTATCATCTTATCGAGAAGCCTCAAAGCTCTTCACAGAATATACTGTAAAGTGGATTAACTTTGTATTTTGTGGGTGAAACACT